TTGCCAATAGGTTCTTGCAAATCATTCAAATGAAGGAAGAGCCTGATGAACCAAAGGCCAGTGACATTAATCCTGACATTTTGCCCATGGAAATTCAAATCCCGTCTACAGTCGAACGCGATCCAAACGGACCTCCAATGCTCTTCCTGACCCTGAGAGGGAAAGGCCTCAAGTACATCGGACGGACGACAGGGTCTTCGGATATGAATCCACTGTTTCAGATTTCAGCATCCAACGGGAAATCAATGGATCAAGTATATCGTTCAGAGCACATCCCGAAGTCATTAAACCCGAAATGGAGAGAAGCAGCGATTGATATTGAGGCAATATGCGGCGGGGACCTGAAAAGGCCCTTACGAGTTTCGGTCTACAGCTTGCAAGCAGGGACCCGTCGATCCCCTTTGGGTTTCTTTTCCGCCAACGTTGCCGAGCTTCTGAAAAGTGCTGTCCACGGCGGCAAGTCACCAAAATCATTCGGTTCGGGCTTTGGCAGCATCATCGTTATGAAAGCGGAGATTTTTCCTTCCCTGCACTCCGCGAATGCGAAGAAGTCGGGCATTTCTGATGAACAGCAAGAGCCAGCTAAATCGGAAAACAATCTTGACATGCAGTCTTCGCCGAATGAAAGCGAAATCGTCAGCGTCGTGCAATCTGAAAGTCTTCACAAAACCAATCCAACTGCTGGGTTCCCGTGTGACGAATCTACAGCACAAGAAACAAAATTGCATTCGGGAACAGTCAACCAAATCCAGCCTCCACCTAATTTCCACATATCGTCTGATGTGGGTGAAGAGGCCATCGCACAGAGCACTTCAACTCAGACAAAGGAAGACAGCGATCCCGCCGTGGTCGAGAATGCGGAAGTGCGCAATCAGCATCTGCCTGAGGTAGAAAATGGCCAATGCCCAAGGACCGAAATCGAAGCAGGAACCATGGAACACGGTCAACATCTAGAAGAGGGCACCGCGGAAAGACCAAGTTCGGTGTCCTTAGGCGCGAGCGACGATGCTCTCGAGGAATCGGCGGAAAGGTTACATCCTTCTCACCAGGACTTGCAGGTGGATCCAGACACTGCAACATCAGCAGATGAAATGCATCACCCCGAGAGTCAGCCAGAGGCACAACCTCCTTCGATTCCGTCTACAGCGGATCTTTTGAAAGAGTTCGAATCCACGTTATCTGGACTAAACCCTGACGGCAGCAAAGATACGGAAAACAATGTGCCGCACACAAACGAAAGTTTGCTTACACAAGAGCCTTCCGCGACGAAACTAGATCAAGGGGGGGATGAGATTGGGGACGGAGTCACACAACAAAGCGAAACTGCATCCTGGGCATCTCGAAGTATCCCACGTCCGCTTTCAACGGCAGGTACCCATACCGCCAATGAAAACGAGAGCAACCCAGCTGCAGTCGTACTCACTGGTGATCTCATCAATGCCGAAAGCGCTCCAATGCCTATGCCGGCAGTGACGGACCTCCTGCAGGACTTTGAAACGACTTTGAATCGTTTGGCAGAAGCTCCAGAGGAAGCCCGCGCGAACGCCGAGCCTGACAGGAGTCTTTTGCAAGGTGCCGCCTCGGACAACCGTGCTCTCTCTCCCCAAGTTGAAACCTCATATGAGTTTCACCCTGTTGCCCAAATCCCTGCGGGCTCCATAGAAAGGTACTCGTCCACTCTAGACGGCTCCGAAAGGGGATCACACCAGACGGAGCCCGACACGAGCGATTTGATGTATGAATTCGAAGAGACTCTTAAGCGGTTGTCGGGAGCTGAGGACGGGAACGAGAGCATTCCTCCTTCCATTGCAGCTGCGATTCCCTCTGAACATGGCGAAGTCGTAGAATCGGCAAATGTTGGCGCAGCCAGCAGTCTATCGGAGCATGGAAGACTCTCGGCCGAAACTACGGCGTTAGTTCACGAATTAGAAGAAGCAAAGGAACAACTCAAGCGGTCCCTTGTTGGCAACAATGAATTGCAGAAGTCCTTGGAAACGCTACGCGAAGAAGCTCACAGCGCAAGGTGCGAGAAGGTTGCTGCCGTGACTGCGCTCCAGAAATTCGAGGAACAAAAGGAGCTTGTTCTGTCTTTCAACAATGGCCTTCTCGAACAGATTTCTTCTCTGGAAAAGAATATGAAAGAGAAGGAATTGCTCGTGCGAGATGGAAAAGAAAAATACGATACCTTAGTAGCTCAGAAGACGTCTCTGGAGTCCCAGCTCAACCAGGCAAGGCAAGAAAAAGAGCAGCTGGAAGTTGCCTTGTCAGAATCTAGAGCGGCAATCGTCACAAGCGAGGCAAGAGTAGCGGAGGCGGTTGATTCCGTGATGAGGATGAAGGTAGAAATTGACGTTCTTGTCCAGTCGAAAGATGATGAAAAGCGGGCCAGTGCCTTGAGGGAGGAAAAACTAGCAGAGGAGAATGAGGGTTTGATCGATGAATTGATAAAAACTCGGGCAGCATGCGAAGAGGCATCGGCTCGATTAGAAGAAAAATCTGCGCTGATTCTTGGTTTCGAAGAAGAGCGAAAGAAGCATCTTCAGGATAATCGCATTCTCACCAGGTCGTTGGAGGAGGCGCAGGCGGATGCAGCCGCAAGAGTTGCACAACTGGAGGAGTCAATGACCGTCAACGATAGGCTAATTGTCAACATGAAAATGCAGATGGATTCCCTTCGAGCCGAAAAAGCAGAATTGGAGGCAACTATTGAGGAAGTACGACGAGAAAACGAAGAGACGATCGCAGATCTTAGGCGTGAAATAGACGACAACGTGGCGAGGCAGCTTCAAAGAGATGACAATGATGCGAGACTGGAAATCGGTGACTACGAAAGAAGGCTTGCCGAGAAAAGCAGATTGGCTCGACGAACCCTGGAAACTATGCTTGTCGAAGCGGAAATCAATCTTTTAATGCGCGAGGAGAGGGCTCGAAACGACAATCTGAGGTTCAACGCAGTCACGACTGAAGTCAATGCTTTGAAGGCACAACTCAGGCTGGGGGAGAACCGAAGCTTATCGGCACAATCACCAATCGAAGGACAGGCCCAGATCGATGAACTAAGAAGGCAGTGTGCAGCACTGGAGGACGAGAAAAACGCCGTTGTTAAATCCTTGAAGGATGCGGAAGATCTTGCGCAGACACTCAGAAAGGATATGACAGAATCCAACAAGAAGGCCTTGATGTTGTCAGAATCGGTTAAGGCGAGAGATAGGCTCGTCGAAAAAGCTCAGCACGAACTAGCGGCCTTGGGCCAAGAGAAACTAGAGCTGGAGCTGTCAGTGAACAGAGAAAGGCTCGAGAGCGAAGCCAGGCTGAAGGAGGCAAACGATCGTGTATCAGGAAACATTAGCGAGGCTTTGAAGGCTACACTGACGCAAGCTGGTGCAAAGGTCAAAGTGTTTGAGGGGAAGGCAGTTGCTGATGCTGCGAAAATCAATGAGCTCACATCTCAAAACAACGAGATGAAGACACGGCTTGCGCACGTGGAGAAAGTACTACAAGATCAGTCGCAAGCTGCGCAGAAGCTTGGCGAGGGATTGCAGTTGCGAGATAAGATCATCGAGGAACTCAAGGCCGAGAAGGCCACACTCGATTCCGCCCATGAAGCTGCAAAGACAGAGAAAGACGCCCTTGTCACTGCTTGCAGAGTACTGGAGGTATCTGCGAAGGACAAAGATGCAGAGCTCGGGCGGCTGGGAGCATCAAAGAATGAGGTGACTAAACTTGAGGAAGAGGTTGGCGAGTTGCGGGCAAAGGTTCCACGGCTCGAATCAGATGCCAAGGGTTTGTTTGGGGATCTGGTGGAGGCACGAAAGCAGATATCAGATCTTGAGGCGACAGTACAATCCAAGGACTCAGATTTGCAGCGGCAGCGCGAAGTCGTCACAGCATTGAAACGAAGTCGAAGGAATTCATCGGCACCTGCGGTTGATCAAGAAAAGCTTGCGGAAATTGAGGCCGAGCGCGACTCAGCGCTCAAGTCAGCTAAAAAGCTCCAGGGTCAAGTGAAAGAGTTGAAGAAGGATCTTGACGGGGCAATTTTTGCCAAGGGTATCTACGAAGGTTACTGGAAAGACGCAAACATCAAAATTGAAGAAATGCGTGGCTTCAATGAGACAAAGAACGAGTTGCGAAGGTCCACTAGCGGGAACGCTGGAAGGAGGAAATCGAGTAGCAGGTCTGTTGCCAGTAACGACGGCACGAGGTCTGAAAAGAGGAAGCCAAAACGTCTCTCTGCAGTCAGGGAATCGACGACTTCCTCTGTCCCCAGCACGGTTGTTTCAAAAGTGAACAGAGCGTCCGTTCCACGTTCTTCTGCTCGAATACCGCGACAGTCTGTTCGGGAGGCCAGTGGTGGCACGCGGGGATCTGTTGCGCCGAAACGAGTGCCGCGAAGATCAAGAATGCTGTCTGTGGAGGACAACAAAGCCCGACAAGCTGCAAGAGCTCAGCGTGCATCGATACGACAAACACAAGGTGCACGAGTCTGGCGTACTTTGTCGGGAACAACTACGTCCAGCCCCGATGAGGTTATTGGTAAAACTGCATTGTTTGCATCACTTAATTTTTCTGAGGTGAAAGCACTTGCAGAAGCAAGTACGTGTCATCAAATTGGCTGCAACGAGTACATTTGTCGCGAGGGGGATGAAGGGGCAAGCATGTTTATTGTTGCCCAGGGTGTCATCGATATCACCATACAAGAAAATAAACCCGGGCAGGATCCTACTGAACTTCACTTGGCGCAGCTGCGGGCAGGTGACTATCTTGGTGAGATGAGTTTGCTGACAGGAAAACCCCGTACTGCAAATGGAAAAGCTGGCAGTCAAGGTACTGTGGAAGTCATTGAGATTAGCAAAGATGCTCTGATGCCACTGATGACGAAACGCAAAGAACTGGCTAAGCAGCTGGCCAAGATTGTGGCAGAGCGTCAAATGGCAACCCAAGGCGCGATGAAAGATGGCAAGGTTGACGCGGGTGCCCTTGACAAAAAATCCAAAGAAGTCTCCAAACAGATCAAGTCGTTTTTCGGGTTTGGGCGGTCGTCAAAAGAGGCCAAGGAAGAGAAAGAGGAACCGACAGCACCAACGCAACAAGACAAGCCAAGCGACCAACAAGGTCTTCCATCCATCGCGAACACAGATGGAGACACTGCACAGAGACCATCTCGGCTACGCAGGGCTGTATCCATCCGACGTGGGAGTGCGTTCATGCAAAGAGCTTCCGAAACTGCTCCACCTGCAGCTGAAACCATCACCGAAACCCCGGGTGCTCAGGTGGATGATAGGGAGAATCGAGAGTCCCCTGGCGATGTAGAGGTTATTGGTAACACTACTCTCTTTGCTTCACTCAATTTTTCTGAGGTGAAAGCCCTTGCAGAGGCAAGCACACGTCACAAAGTCCGGTTTTATGAGTACATTTGCCGAGAGGGCAATGAAGGGTCAAGCATGTTTATAATTGTCCAAGGTGTGATTGACATCACCAAACAAGAACAGAAGGAGGGTGAAGACCCCACTGAAGTTCACTTGGCACAGCTGCGTGATGGTGATTACTTTGGGGAGATGAGTTTGCTCACAGGCAAACCACGTGCAGCAAATGGGAGGGTCAGCAGTCATGGTACCACTGAGGTTATTGAGATTGGCAAAGATGCTCTGATGCCACTGATGAAGAAACGAAAAGATCTGGCCAAACAGCTTGGTAAGATTGTCGTGGAGCGTCAAATGGCAATCCAAGGTGCCATGAAGGATGGCAAAGATAATACAAAGGCCATTGACAAGAAATCGAAAGAGGTATCCAAACAGATCAAGGCGTTCTTTGGGTTCAAGAAGTCATCAGGAGGCGACGGCGCGGATTCGGACTAGTGAAACTGGGCTCATAGGTATACATGCAAGTAGAGTACTTTCAATTCTGTTACTAGTTTTACATAGAGTAGAATGCAGTTGCCTCGCATGGTTTTCCATTTGCTGCTTCACCTGATAGGACAGCTGCCCACTGGGACCCAACGCCACGTCCATGCTTCTCAATCCATTCATCCAATCTGTCGACTGCCAGCTCGACAACACGGGCATCGCTAGCTTCCATCCGAAGGGAGAATGGGTCCAGCAGTTTCTGCTCAGTGTCTTCACCCACCAAAGCCACGGTTGTTCCAACTGCCAAGTTCGCGTTTGTTGTGTTCGAGGTCTCAATTGTTAGCTGCAGGGCAATATTGGCAAGGGGCCTTTGCGAGCGCGGAGGACCAATGGCGCTAATGTCGAATGCTCCGAACTGGCTGTTTTCGCTAAAGGCGGAGTTCAACGGGCATGTCCACAAATTCTGCTGCTGAAGAAGAATGGTTTGTGCCGTGTCTCGAATGACGATGTCGATGACGGGTCCAAGTCCAAAATCTGAGGCGAGCCTCACAGTTTCACCTTCAACAATGTTTTGCTCCACCAAAACGGTTCCTTGCACTCGGATAAGAAGAAAGACCTCGGTAATGCCTTCTCGTATACCACCAAAATTTTGTGTGCAATTTTCATTGTTGCAGCTTTCACCGGTGAATGTCAGGTCGATTGCGGAAGGGAAGGGGTGGGGGCATTCCAGAAGTCTGTCGCAATCTTCGACTCCATGCACGGTACGCCCGACACATTCAATAGACGCCAGTACCTCACAAGTTGCATTTGGATCCAAATTTGTCGTGTCGAAGGGCTGACTGTCTGTTGATTCCAACCCCGTGGCATTTGTGGGTGCTTGCGGGCCCAGATTTCGACCAAAAGTAAGGGAGACAAGTTCATTGTAAGAACAATTTTTGCCTCCCTGGGTCACCCCGGTTAGAGAGCTCAAGACACCAAATTCCACTTCATCGGATAAATCAACGACGCTATTTGTCGGAAAGGTGAAGGAGTTTTGTGGATTGAGGACACCTCCATCCTGGATGTCGAAGCTTTTATACTCGGTACCCGCAACCTGTGTCACATTGTCAATGACCGCCGGTACAACACCCACATTTGTAACCTGAAGTGAGAATACAAAGGAATAGATCTGGTTTTGGGAATCAAATATCCTGGAATCTCCTTGCTCGATACTGGCCATTCCAACAAATATTGTAACCCCAAAGGAGTCTTGTAGGTGTGTTGTCGGGCATGAAAATTCGACGATTGATTCTTGTAGCAGTGTATTGCTGGTGATGTTGTTGCCGTCGGACTCGATAGAATACAGTGAAATGTTCATGGAGTCTTGGATAGGCTCGAGCCGATTTCTCAACACGACAGTGGAGAAGTCCACAACCTCTCCTTCAAAGTAAACCACACTAGAGTTGCTGACTGACGTGACGATGAGCAGTTGGCTCTCGCCATTGCCTGCTGGTGGTCCTCCATTAAAGTCACGACATGACACGCGCTGTGAGGATGAATTCGTAAACACAAAGTCACAGTCGCGGTTTTTCGAATAGAAGAGCATGATCTCCAATGGATCACTCAAACATTCCGTGACTTGTGTACTAGCTCGGATGGTCTCACATGGGCGCTGAGATGCTTCCTCCACGCAAGTTAGGTTGAAAGTTAAATCACAGATTTCTGCAGTGGGAAAATTTGTGGGAAAAAAGGATGGTTCTGATGATGGCACCGGAGAAACAGAGGGACCCAACGAAGGAGTAGTGACTCCTGGAGCCGTTGTTTCGGCGGGAGATATCGTTTCTCCTTCCTCCCCCGCCATGGCGACTTGTACTTCTTGACAAATGGTTTCCAAATGTGCCTTTTGGACACTGGTAGCGGACGCGAAACTAGCTGGACTCGCTCCATCAATGGGTATTTCGGTGGTCCCATCGGTGAGACGCGTGTATACCGTTTGTAGAGCGGCTGGCAAAGCGGCAAAGGTGGTAAAGCCGAGTCGGTTTCCCGATAGTCGATTGAGAAAGATAACGTATTCCGTTTGCGACAATCGGTTATCTCGATTGAGATCTGACACGGCCATGCTGATGCGACAGGTGGTAAAGGGTACCATAGAGGGTATCGGTGATGGGTTCGCAGATACTGTGGGGGTTGCAGTAATTGTTATTGCACTCCCCAGTCCATCCGGATTAGGATTCTGGCTTCTTGGACCAAGGACAACTCCAAGGACAATAGCCAATATCACCAGCAGGAGACCCAAAATGGCCAATCCCCGCCAAAAATAGGATTTCTTAATGGGCGCAGCCACAACAATCTCACCCAGCTCACCTTTATCTCCTCCACTATGATCACTCTCTTCCACCACATAGGCGACGGCCAAGTGAGGACTTCCATTATCTTGTCTGTTGTCGTCTGTACCAGTACTGGCATTCTCTGGTTCTTGCACTTGGGCATCGGGCAGGTGGTCTTCACTGTTCTCTCGGCGTTCTTTGTCTTCTGCTGAGGGAATCGCAATATCTATATTCTCTTCTTGCGAGGGAATCATAATATCTTCTTCCTCCTTGCCTTCTTCAATGTCTTGCGCAGGAATTGCCTCAGCACCTGCTCGTTGATTTTTACCATTGCGACGAAGCCCTCCCTTGACCAGCGGCGTCATTCGAGCCACGTTGGCTGCATGAGTTGGCTGTTGAGGACGCCTTAATCCTTTTGGCTGTTTCCCCTGTGGACTGGGAGCATCATTGGGAGCATCATTTCGGGAGGGTACTGCTCCGGGAACACTCGCCGTTTCTCCTCCTGTACGGGGCCGCCGCAAGCCTTTGGTCTCCTTCTGATTAGTCTTCATGGTCCTCGATCGTATTTTGCCTTTTGGTGTCCCAAATTTTTTTTTAATGCCCGACCTTTGGTTTTTTTCAAGAGCTGGGTCCCTTGAAGACGGCTTTGGAAGGTAGATGCGGTAAGACATTTTGCAGTACGATTTACTAGTAGTCTATTTTAGAAGAGAAGTACAAACATTGACCTTATATTTACCTTAACTACCCAGACACCGCGTGCCCGCGAGGTAAAGCCTGTTTTCACAAACCGTCCCAGGCCCACCAGGCTTGAGACGTGGATCCAATTGAGGATTAAAAGATACCGGTAACCCTATCATTAGTGGACATGCCGCCGAAGATCTCCGCTGCCAACACGAACAGAACCGAGACTTCCTTTGGATCAAACACTGAGGTAACACTCTCCCCAGAGCACAGTATCACTGCACCTGTAGACAAAAGCACTTCATAGAAAGGTATAAATCAAATCAAACCAAAAGCAGAAATGGCGTACAAAATTGACGAGAGAAACAAGAACTTATTTGCCATTGTCGATGACAAGATCGTGCCTCGATCGGAAGCCTCCATTCCAATTTGGGATGCTGGATTCCTCCATGGGAAACAGATTTGGAGCAGTCCGAGGCTCGTCAATGGAAAGATCTTTCGTTTGCAAGATCATCTCGATAAGATCCGACATGGCATTCAAGCCATGAATTGCAAAATTGTTCCCGACGATGCCGTCTTTCGAAAGGCGATTCGCAAGGTGTTGGTAAGTAGGCGTACCGTAGCTTACCGCACGGCTACAAATAAATGTAATCCATGGTCAGCGTAAATGTCTCACTTTTTCTGACTCTTTCTATTGGAACTACAGGTTGCCAATAAAATGCAAGGGGCGACAGGAGTGCACATTCGCATCGTTTATACCCCTGGAACTCAAGTGACAGCCAGCATGAACATGAAAGCCGTCGTCAATTGGGATGGGACTCCCGCACCGCCGAGAATCATTGTCATGCCAGAATGGCGTGGCATGGGGACCATCTATGACACGGTCAAGGGTGAAAAAGCCATCATTTCGCAGTACAGGAGACCGGCTCCACAATTCGCCGACCAACGAATTCACAGCAACAATCAAATCCACTCGTCACTGGCATGTGATGAAGCTGTCCAAGCCGGTGTAGCAGCTGCGTTAATGTTGGATGCGGAGGGGTTTGTAGCAGAAGCGCACGCCTCTCACATGGCCATTATCAAGGATGGCAAATTCTATACACCGCACGTTCGTTGCTGCCCGCCGGGTGTCACTCGAAAAGTACTTTTGGAGGTTTGTCAGGCCAACGACATTCCGGCCATGGAGGATGATATTACTGTAGAACGATTGATGGATGCCGATGAAGTCATGATTATGGGTACCATGTCAGGACCCATATCGATTACTCACGTGGATGGAAAGGTCATTGGAGACGGGGAGATTGGATCCATGACGACACGGCTCAAAGCACTCTACAACGACGCCATGGCGGATGAGAAGAACCTTTTTGACATCTTTGCCGAAGAAGAGTGATGCTAGCTAGATATTGTAGTGCACTACCAGCACTGGTACTAGTCAATTCAACGCTCAACTATCGTGCTGCTCTGGTGACGTTTTTTATGGTCTTTCAGAGCTTTGATCTTGTAGTCTGTTGCGGTAGGACCATGAGGGGGTCCGGGAGTTGGTCCAGATATTGGTCCTTGAGTTAGTCTGGGAGTGCGACTTGATGATGGACCTGCGTATGGCTGGATTATGGGGTGAGTGCGGCCTGCAACTGGAACTAGTCTGGAAGTGGACCCTCGTGTTGATCCTCGAGTGGGACCTGGTAATGGAGGAGCTGCTTGTGTTTCAGTTGTCCCTCCCTACAGAGTGACATGCGCTCTTTTTGGTCAAGGTGTGGTGAAGGCCCTGCCAGATACACAGTACCGGGTCTTTCCACTGTTATTGCCATCGGCCTACTAGCTAGTGAGCTACGGTAGCTTGCTAGATCTAGATTTCAATAATAGCTCCAATGCCACTCATTTATGTCTCCGTGGATCCAGCAAATACACGCCCTTCCACCCTTGTGTTGCTTCGACCCCGATCCGGAGTCTTGCACAGACTTTTGCAAGATCGATGAGGAAACCGTTTGAAGGCTCCGACATTCAGTCGTGCTCTCCCTCAATGATGTCATGCACCGGAAGATTCAGTCGTGCTCTCCCTCAATGATGTCATCCACCGGAAGATGGCCTCCACTCATCTCGATCTTGATGATGTGAGCAACGAGATGAGACAGCATCATTGGCCACTGCGCCATCGCAAAAAGGACAGCAGCGGGTTTGACAGGCATGAAGGATATCTATTGGGTTTGGACAGTTAACCTAACTAATGATAGCTTTGGCTCAGCCCCACCACGCCACAATACTTTTTACCAACGTTGTGGCTCTCACAATTTTAAAAACTTCTGTCCACCACAGAAAGCTACGACAATAAGTTCAACAATCCACCAAAACCAAAATGCAACGATCCGTTTTGCTTTCCGAACTCCGTGCTAAAGTCACGGGAGCATCAGTGGACTATGTGGGGTCTATAACCATCCACGAAGAATTCTGCGATGCTTTGGGGTTGCTGGAACGTCAAATGGTCCACATTCGCAATGAACGAACAGGGGTTGACCTATGGACGTATGTGATTCGGGGTGACAACACCCCTGCCGGCACTGTTTGCTTGAATGGTGCTGCGGCTCATTTGGTCCAAGTCGGAGATGTGGTTTCCATCACAGCTCATGGGTTGGCAACAACAATGACTGAAGCAAGCGACAATCCACGACAATGGGACGCGGTCCGAAATGGAGTGACCCAAGTGGTGCAACGCATGGGAAAACCGTCCGTTACGTGGGCCGACAATGTAATGCTGGAATACGCCCGTGGCAAAGTCCATCGTCCACGTGTCACAGAAGTAGTGTCGGGAGAGGAAAACAATGTGATCTTTCCCGGTTTGATTTTGGATTCCGGCGTTGGGCACAATGATTGGCGGTCTATGGTGTCAATGGCGAATCTGTGCACGTGGAATCAACTCGTATCTCTAATGGTACATACGCTGGCATTCTGGGAGGCGGAGTCTCACGCCATGCTCCAAACAGGACCAGTCTCATCAGCTAGTGTCTAGCTATTCACATGGACAATGACCCAAATGCCAGCTCATGCCACGCAAGGGTACGGTTCCAGGCCGGGATATCAAGCAGGAGATATCATTATTGCCATGAACTATGGATATATCTCGAGAGCTGCTGTTTTGAAAGGAAATGCGCCGTCCATGAAAATTTGCTTTCCTTTTGAACGGCCAGCCGAAAACCCAGCGGACGATGATTTTGGTGCCAAGAGCAAGCTTTATCAACCTATTGGGAATAAATCTGGCAACACAACGCAACAACAACAAGAACCAAAGTTTTACGCTGTAATTGTGTTTCGCACACGATGGGTGTTTCTCCCGCTTTGGTATGGTTCATGTTCGATTAAAAATTAATATATACAATACTGGTTGAGCCGTCCACTGTCC